CCGTATTCATTGGTGCAGCTAGTGAAATCGATGACCCTGACGGCTCACTCAAAGCTTCAAGACGAAGTCGTTTTAGGACAGCTTGCTTTTTCAACATCAAATATTCAGCTGCGAGGGGGTCGTTTGGCGCCGCCTGCGCAGTAAATAAGGTCAGATCAAGCTGTTCCTGGGCAACTTTAATGTGCTTTTCGGCATTTTCTGCAGCGCGTTCTGCTGCTTTGACTTGGCGTGCATACAAAGCTTGATTCGCCCGGTCAAGTTTTGCTCGGGTTACGCCTTGTCTCGGCTCTTCAGATTCGCCTTGGACCCGAAGCGTTTCAGCAGGAGGAGATCGTTCGCTTGAATTAAGAGAGGCATTGGAAGAACTGTTCCGATCGCGCACGGATGCTGAGCGTTTGCTGCCTTGTCGCTTTTCATTGGAGGTGCGCCAAGCCCCCCATTTTTCAGAGTCGCGCAAAATGTGCCAACACTGTAGGAATTTGAATGAACCGTTCTTAGGAATGGACTCATACAATGCCACTGCATCACGTTCTTGGTCGGACGGGGATCGCCCGCTTTGGCAGACTCTGAGGTCCTTCTCATGACAGGCGACGAACTTTGAAACAGCTTGAGAAATCGTTTGGAATCGAGAATTGAGTGAGGGTACGGGGCGTTCGGCAACGGTCGACTTCAGGCGAGCGAGTTCTGTGTCAAAAGCCTCCTTAACCTTGTTGTAGAAGTCGTCGCCGGATTGATAGATGCCATTTATTGGGTTGCAGCTCACGGACAACCACGCTTCACACAACACCTTGTCCTCGACAGGCTTGTAGTTGACCCCTCGCGCCTTCGAAGGCGTTGCGCTACTCTGCATGCCGCTGTTTGGCGCTGCTATTCTGAAGGCCAAATTTGGCTTCCGATTTGGCATTAGAAGGCCTCTCGCTAAATTTGTCACCTGGATAGCGGGAGTGGTGGAGGCGTAAAAGCTATTTTTCGCAGCTAAATTTGGCTTTGGCAGCAGGATAGCAGCACTGGTGAAGATGCTCTTAGCTAATACATCCAGTGAAACAACTTGTGATCAAGTATACCGGTAGCTAGTTGATCATGTTAAGGCGGTTGGTTTAGTGGGATTCCAACAAAATATTTCAAATCTAGAAATTTATGGAAATATCTGACGATACACTAAGGTCTCTATTATGACCCTTTCGGAAGCCGATTTTCGATGAAATCGGCTTAGAATGGACGACCACGAAAATCATCTTGATACATATCACTGATTGCTACTAGTACGTAAAACCTTTGATTTTTGCAGCATTTGACTGTTTTTTCTGCTATCATCACATTGTATGAAGTTTCAAGTTAGACAGTATAATCAAGGGAATATACAACACGCAAGTCTACGGGCTCGGTGGAATCAAATCCTATCAAGCACGACAGGATATCATGATATACGAGCTCACATAGACAGATTGATCTGTAATATCATTGCAAAGTTTTTTCTATTTAGCAAATTAAAAGTCTCTTTATGACGTTAATCACAAAGTAACTTTCATTTTGCTGATATAACTAAAGTATCTTTTGTAAAAGTTGTATTAAAACACAGTTTACCGAGCTAAAAAAATAGTTAAACCATTCACCTTTCCCCGCCAAATTAATATGGTGGAATATCGCATATCAGTATCGTATCAAGACAAACTAACCACAAATCATAGTCTGTTACGCTACCTACTATATCCCGAAGCCTTGGTGATCCTCGTCGTAGGACCTCTGGCGCGGGAGATCCCAGCTGAATCGGCGGATACATTGTGTAGAGGTGTGCGGAGGTAGTACCGTTGGCGAAAACCAAAGCAACGCTAGTGAGATCAGCGCTAAATATGGCTCTAGGTTTTTTCGCAGTGGACTAACGACTTGTTGTACATTTGGAAGAATATTTGAGAGTTTGGAGATTAAGAAAGAAGAGCAAGAAGAAGAGATAATTTGCTAGCTGAAGTAGCTTAAGGGCCCACGACAGTATGCTGGGCACTTTATGCGAATAAATTTCGAATTGTACGTTTCGTTTATCGGCCTTATCGCACTCACTACTGCACACCAATTGTGACGTGCTCTGCTAGATTAGGGCATATATTCTCCTATCCTTTGGGGTCCAGCTATGTGTTTTTGTAACGGGGTAACACGGTGTTGGAAACAACCCTAAGTCAGTGGGTTGTGTAGTGTCCTTGGATAAGGAGCTAAGGTTAAGTAACTCTTTGAGTCGAACGTCTTCTTCTTCCTCTGAAGCTACGCTACGGTAGCCCCACTACACTTGATAGCACTCGAAGTCAGCCCCGCACCTTATTCGGTTAACTGTAGCCTCAATGAGGATGGAACACCTAGTGTTCTCGAACTTGCCCCCGGCGCAGCAGGACGCGCTTAAAAAGTTTATGTCCCTGCTTGGCCTGGTGGACATCGCTCACCTTGCGTCTCGCAAGGTCCAGAGACGGTTATCGCCAGACTGGGATCGTTCTCCTGCTATGAGAACGCGCTCTTAGAGCATGTCCAGGTAAGGATGAGCGCTGCGATGGCGGCAGCATCGTCGACGCGCGAAGGGTCTGTGAGACCGAAACCAGTCTTGGTGAGTGCAAAAACCTTCGAAGGGAAGGGCGGAGAGAACCTCCTTCCCTGGACCCGTAAGGTCAAGATG